ATTTATATTTATATAAATTTATATTTATATAATAATATATGATCAGCTCTGAATTTACACATCTACATCACTTTCTATAAACTGTATTAGACAACAGAATGAATAATTCAGGGAGACTTTGTAAATTTCATAAGTAATAGTTTATATCCATATTTACCTGTTTCAAATACACAGAATATCCAGATGCCTCCTCAATTCCTATCTTCTTAAAATGTTCCACTAAGTCAGCCAAACTGCTGAATTTTTCTGCACCCCCAATTGTGTACTGCCCTTTCTGGAAAAATGGAGAAAACAAAAAGCATTATTATTCCTGTCCCTCATATATGTAGGTGACTTTATGCCTGTGTATCTACACCTAATCTTGCTCCCATGTTTTATTTTTTTACTAAACTGCTATCTTTTCAATGCTGTGGAAAGCTAATCACCGCCACTTGAATTAAAACAGTTAAGTATTCTTTTATTCACATTTGGCCTCTGGTTTTGTATTAACAAAGTGATCGTCTCTGTCTATACCAATGTATTTTTAGACAGAAAAAGGAGATCGTTAAAATTTGGGGTCTCTTCTTAAGGGGACTTTTTGTTGTATTTTTGTGTTGGGTTGTGCAAAACGTTCCAAAGGGGTGCTTTGCAAAGCATGTTAGCACAAGCGCAGCACTCTTCCTTGAAGCATTAACACAGCGCAGGACAGCACTGGAAGACTTGGTACAGCAGCTTCAAAGGGTATCCATCCAGGAGAGGGCGCCTGTGGAAGCTTTGCTGACAATCCCATGAATTCCACGCAGTGCACGTTTGGGGACAACTTCTGAAGCAGCCACGCGCACCTTCCACAAGGCACAGCTTCTTTAACACTGTCATTTTGAGGACGGGGGCTTTGCTCACACAGATTGACTCTGCACAATGTCCTTTCAAATGTTTTACATAGCCCCCGAAGTTTCTATTTCCTGCTTTTCATTGTTGCTGTTGTTCTTACGTTGCTTAATTTTGGATGTTTTGTTGATGGGCGCCTCTAGCAATGCACACTCTTCATGATTCCTGTTAGATGAGACCACACGGACACAAGAGCCATGTAAACTCATCCCCGCGACTAAGGAAGCCTAACGAAGGCTGATGAAGAGCATCCCTGAGCAAAGGGACAACTTCCCTCCCTTTGAGGCTAAATAGAAAGGGAGAAGTTTGCAGGAAGCTTTCGTTCTTGGAATCTCCTCGGGAGCAGCAGTTGGCTGTTGGGAAGGAGAAGAAGGAATCCTAAGCCCACTCCAAGATGTGGGGTGAAATCTTTCAAGACCCAGGACAGATATAATCCAACCCAGATTTCTATGCGCAGCAAAAACTGAGATAGAGAGAGGTTCTGGGATGTGAGGGTTGCTTTTATTTTGTGTGTCCTCAAGGCAAAGAGCCAGTTTCTTTCCAAGCTATTCTTCCCTAAGGCCTAATCACCATATTGTTCCTTTGTTTATCCGACCTCTCCTGAAATTAAATCAAACCTAAACCAAACACACACCAATACTTTCTTTGCTAGAAGATGTTGCTGTTGTGTGTTCCTAATAAATGCTCAATACTATTCTAAACAGACATTTTTTATGTCAGTTTATAACTATAGAGTTTTAAATTGATAGTATGCCTCAGGAGACCCAGGCCTCTTTAGTTGACTACCAGATACTGGAATTAAGATGTCCTAGTGTTCCTTAGCTAACAGAAAGAGGAAGCTATGTTACTCCTTTTAATTTTGCTCCTATAACCCTGCTTGAGGGAAGAAAAGGATGGTGAATACCAGCTGAAAACAATTGTTACTGCCCTTGTTGGGTATAGCAAGCCAGATGGGCTTTAAAAAAAAGACAGTTTCAAGACTTTCTGTTGCCAAGTGATCAGAATTATAGTATTTTAATACTTATGATTAATTGAACATGGAAACATTAGTCCATCCCAGGGTCTTCCTGTGAACCTGTCAGAGAAATGAATTAAAGTTGTGACAAACCACAGGGTGGAAGATCAGCTTTTGTGCTTAGAAGGAAATTGGTTTTGGGGATGAGCATCATATAAAAATGAGGCCTAGGACAGCACTCTGCATAAGAAGATCAGCTTTTGTGCTTAGAAGGAAATTGGTTTTGGGGATGAGCATCATATAAAAATGCGGCCTAGGACAGCACTCTGCATAAATGAGCACAATTTTAATTTTATAACATCTGTACAATTCCAAATGGGAACTAGATAACAGTGCTATGGTTACAAGTGATTTAGATATTTTCCATATTTAGCCAAGGTGGGGAAAAGATCGAAGATTCCCTGGGAAACTGGGATTATCTTGACCCTTTTAAATCTATATTTAAATGTGGTTTTGGCTTGGAAACTTCATTGGCTTCCATTTGAGCACAGACGAAACACAGAGACCCAAGTCAGGCTATCAGTTTCTACCTTGACTAGGCCCAAGTTACATTCCTTCCCTGCTTCACCAGGCCCACTTCTTGGTGCACATGATGCCCCCTTACTTCTCAGGATCCAGCTCCTGAACCTCAGGAAACTTGACTACAGCTATCGTTGTCATCTTCTATGGCCCAACAAGGTTCTTTTGGGAACCCGATTCCCTTTTCGTTTGAAGTGCAACTATCTTTTCATTGGTGAAGATATAATGTATGGATATAAATGTGAAATATTACAAATCAGTAGATAAAATGTTAAGGGTCACCAGCTTCCCAACTGGATTTTCATGTGAAACCATGTAAGAAGTGATTTGCATACCATCTTGCAGGGAGGAAAGAGCTCTCTATCTCCTCCTTTGCCCTCTCTCCCACCTTCTCACCTCACACATGATCTTGATATGGGTAACTTTAAGTCGTTCTTGGCTGTGGGCTCCAGTAGCATCAGTCCTAGGTTTAGGCTGGTCAGTCAGGACAGACAGCACAAAATCACCAGGCTTGCTAAGGCTTTCACGCACCAAGAAGGTCCATGGTGCAGTCTTGGCTTGGAGTAAAGCCTCAGCTGCTGGACCAGAAAGATGTCCATGGTACCACCTGAAGAAAAGGAGAGGTGAGATAAACAACAGATTTGTGGGGTGGGTAAAGAGAATAAGAGTGACTAGAATGTAATTAGGCTAATGGAAAACGTGGGTCATGTCCAAGGGACAGAGAGGAAAGACAGTGATTAAGAAAGCCACCTGAATCAACATTGGATGTGAAGTTTTGTTTTTACTTTGTTTTGTATGAGCATTGAAACAAATCTAGCCATAGTTCTTATTTGTACTAATTATTCTCCTCCTTGATATGATAAACATACATGTACACATTTTAAAACGTTCATTAATAGGGACTGGTTTTGTTTTTATTGTATACATGCAATTGTCTGCTTTATCTTTCAGCATTCAGTAAAATTATCTTAACATCTGCTTCTACTCAATCTCAGCAAGTTAAAAAACAAAAAAACAGCCTGTCCATGAAAAAGCAGAAAAACTTCATTATAAGAAAAAGAATCAATGCAGCAAGTATTAAGGACACCGTAAAACTACATGGAGGTAATAAAACAATATGATCTACCAAAAGCTAAAATTGGGGTTTGGAGGGGGGTAGCGGTGATGGCAGGGATCCAGTTCATAAAAGATCAGCTCAGTTCAAAGTTGGGGGGAAAACTCTTTAATTGGATTTGCCTCCCTTTTCTTTGGCAATATTAATAGCATTGTACAATATATCTGAGTTTCATTTTTCTGCCTAGAACTAGCCAGAGGGACTACAAAAAACAACTTTCACAGAATTAGATCTTAAAATTTTAAAAAAATGTTTAGATTTTCAGTTGTAATATTAGAGATTATTTTAAAGGTAATAACAAATGGTACTAGGGCACGACATTTTTAGCATTTAGCCAGCATATAGGAAGCAGCTTTCTAGCTGCTTCCTATAGGATACCTCACCAGTTCTTAGCACAACAGTGTAACATAAATCAATGTATCTGTTCCCTTACTGGGGATGAGCTGCTGATGCCAGCACTCCCAAATCCATGTTTACCAGGACTATGCAAAGTCAACCAAGATAACTTGTTCATACAAAACTGCCAGGCCAGCAGGGAGAAAACAGGACTTTGCCCAATGGAATATCCCCAGGGACACCACTGGAAGTGGGCAGGGGGGGGGAGGTTTCAACTCAGTTCCCTCTGCATCTTCCTTTTCTGGGGTCTCTGGAAACACTACGTGTGAAACTCATCATATAATGGCATGACTGTCAATCTCCTTTCAGTAATATGTTATTTGTCACGACGCAATGCAATGAGGAGAAGAAAACCCCAATTTCACACCGTTGGGTTTTTCTGCCAATATAGACATGCCACAAACAAAGTTGTGCTGGTTCATCCACGACCTTAGGTTTCCACATGGTCAGTTACCAGAAGCTTCAGTGGATTCGACCAAATCCTAACATATACAACCCTTTTTATATTTTCCCTCAAGCTCATTTAGCATCAACGCATACCTGAGTCTGAATTACATGAACTTTCCCCAAGCATGAAGTGTATCTGCAAAATGAAAACGTTGGGCCCTTCTCTGAAATTAAGGTGCTCAGGAATTTAACGTAATGAGCCCCAACAAATTACACACTATCTTGGCGCTAAAAAGAAAACACACTCCATGATTAATTATAGGGCTTTTCTAGACGAAGGTGACACTTTGGAATGAAGGAGAGAATCAAAATTCTTCTCAGCAAACCTTAATGTCTCACACTTGAATAAATTATTATGTATATTTGTATATGTAAGCACTGTATTCCTTCAAAAATCTATAGCAAAATAATTATTCCTTATTAAAGAATCATGTATAAGAAAAATAACCGTACAGCAGTTGTACTTATAATTGCTGTAAAGAAGACTATATCAAAAGAATAGCTTTTCTGAACTTCAAAATTTGAGCACATTATTCCTTATTAAAGAATCATGTATAAGAAAAATAAAGAGTATGAAGATTTTGTATCTATAGTTACCAATCAGACTATATCAAAAGAATAGCTTTTCTGAACTTCAAAATTTGAGCACTATTTTAAAATGAAATTAGAAGTTCAATATTTATATACTGTAACACCATTTCTATTAAGGCATTGTTGATTTTGTTAAACGCATTTTGACTCT